GTTGCCTCAAGCCTCTCAGAGAGATGAGGTTAGGGAAAGCCGTCACTTTCAGCAATAAGAGTTTGGTAAAGTTCTGGCCTTTTCTGGCTGCCACTCCAACACACAAACACAGTCAGTTAGTTTCTTCAGGCTTTAGGACAAGGGACTTTTCTCCATCTGTTGCATGTCATCTTTTTGAAGTGGATGAGAATGGAATGAATTTTTGCAGGCTTCCCCTCATGTGGAAGGAACTACAGCACTTGTTATCTGTGCAATAGAGAGTACTTGGTTGTTAGAAAATTAAAATGCAAAGTTCTGCCTTAGTTAGAATGCCTCTAACTTTTCCAAGATTTTCCCTACTGTTATTTCAACAGTCTTTAAATCCTAGAAGATTATTTTTCTGGGGATTCTCCTTATTTTAAAACTGTGTAGATATGTTTGGAGTTTTCAGCACATCAGGGACAGAGCTGAGTCGAGAATTCAAAACCCTTAAATTTCTCCCAAAGCCCTTAATTTCCCCCAAATCTTGTGTTACTAAATCTGCCCTTGGCCTCTTGCACAACAGCCAGTCTGCCCAGTGATGAGGTGAGAAAGTACAAGGCTGCCAGCTTTTTGAGACTTGGTGTCAGACACACACAGACCATTGGGAGGAATTCACTCTTAAATTGACAAATGTTTATTGAGTACCTGCTACACTTCAGATACTGCTCCAGGCAGCAATGTCCAAAACAGCCAAGAATCCCTACACTCTGGAATCTGCATGCCACTGGGAAGAGGAGTAGACTATTAATGAATGAATAAAATACGCAGTGTGTCATATGGTGATAGTGCAGGAAGAGGGTGGAGAGGTTTGCAATCTTAAGTAGGGTGGATGGAGAAGTTCTTAGTGAGGGGTGACAGTTGAACAAAGACTTGAAGTTGCTAAGGGAGCAAGCTTTGAGGATCTCAGGAAAGAAGTCCAAGCAAAGAGAAAGAGCAGTGAGTGTGTGTGTGGAAAGCTGCCGTGTTACTTTCCTTGAATCTGGTGAGTGAGTGAGTGACTGTGTGTGTATGTGTGTGTGTGTGTGTTTGAAAACTTTTCTTGAATTCTGAGCTTGGTACAGAGCTTTAATTTTTGCTTTAATGACTTCCTGCACTTGGGGAGCTCTTTAATAGATGCATTCTGAAAGTTGTAATCATCGGTCCTGGGATGGTATCACATTACCTATGTGGAAAAAGTGGAATTGCTTTGGCACTGATTGGGTCTTGGGGTGCTGATTTTATTTTCCTCATTTTTAATGCAGATCATTGCAAATATGTCAGAGTCCTGATCTCAAGTGTTTCTCTTAAATAGGGAAGAATCATGTTCTTATATGCAGGGGGTACAGGAAGGGACTTGGGGTGGGGGGTGGGCAGAAGGGTTCTTATATTTTAAATGCCAGTCAGCTGCAACCACTAGTTATCTGGAGTCTGTTCAAACTCATTTGGAGAACAGTTGAATTTTTAAAGTGCCTTTTGATTCTCTCTTTCATTTATTTTAACTGATCTGCTGGGATTAGGATCTTGGTAGGGGAACACCAGAACGCTTGCCAAAATGTGTGAATAATTAGAGCTCCTATGATGTGTGCCAGATAGAAGGGGAGTATTCACACTTCTGATTAGATTCAGCTAAATGCAGTTGTAAATCATTGCTGCCACAGTAACAGAACCCGGCAGGGTGAGCAGGGCAGGAGCTACGGGCAGCAAAGTGGTGAGGGGCTGCCCCAAGGAAGGGAGCATGGAAGAAGGAAGAGAACAAGGAGGCTGGTAGCTCTAGTCACCAGCAGCCAAAGTGACAATGATTTTGGCATCTCAGTGCAATTCTATCATATTGAGTCTTGCTGAGCACCAAGCTAGCAGCCATCTTGACAAATGTGAATAAGATGAGTCCCTGTTCTTTAGATGCTTCTAGTCTCAGGAGATGAATGAATAGCTGTTGTGCAGTATGAATGTGTCAGTAGAACAGACCACTTCATAAAAGAAAAACACCATTCCTTCCAGAAGAGTAATCAGTTCTGCAGAAAGGGGAGAAGAGCACGAGTTAGAAGGGTAGTTATTTCCTTCAGAGTTAAAAGGTGTACATTGCAGAGAGCTCGGCAAGATAAGGAACTACAGGCAAAGAGAACAATGTGTGCAGAAGAGCAGAGTCTCAGCACATAGTATGCCATGTGCCTAGAGGATGGGGAACCAGACAGGAGAGGAAGAAGGCCAGTAACACTTGCACAGCACACTGAATTAGAATCTTGAATGCTCGTGTCAGAAACTCTTTTTCAATTTACATGCCTCTCCAGAGTTCTTACAAAAAGGGTCAGCCTCGCATCTCGGTGAGAGAACTTGCCTTTGTCACCGTTATTCATGGATGTTGGTCTTCTTTAGCTATATTAGGGCTGGAAAAATAAATGTTGAGAAATACTGCTCTAGCAAGTGGGGAGTCTATGAAGGCAAATAAGGTGAAGAATGAAACATAAATTGGTTAATTTAAGAAAATAAGTAATAGAAGCTGTGATGCAGACTTCTCAGTTGAGAGTGGGTAAGACTGCTGAATCCCAGTTTGGATCCAGGTAAGAGGTTATGCTGATGGCCTAAAGGCAATGATTGTCTCCATTTCAGGAGAGATTTCAGAGTGGAATCAAATAGGACTTGCTGAGGACTCCCACTGCATGCTGGGCTCTTGCTCAGCCCCTTTGTGAACTCTCTTAAATTGACCTTTCCTCATTAGTGTGTAGTGTCACACCCAAAGACACAGTGTCCTGCAAAAATATAGACAATGAGAGGCCTCCCTGGTGGCGCAAGGGGTTAAGCACACACTATGAGGCAATCTGCAGCCTCTGCAGCATGAGTTCAATTCCCGGCCAGCCAGGGAGCTACCCACATGGCACAGCAGACCTCTCCTGACTCGCCCACTGCTCCCCTCAGCATTGTACTTCAGTCTGCCTGTCCTGTTCCCCACTCTGTCTCTGGTAAATCCTCTCACCCCCCCGCATCTCTGGGCTATACACCAGCTCTTGTATTCATAAATAAATAAATCTTTAAAAAAATGAAAGCCAATGAGTATATATCTTCAACTACTGCCCAGGATCTGAAGTCCTGGTACTATCCTAATCATAACCATGTAGTCCTCTTCCTCCAGCAACCTCTTCTACTCCCTGCTCCCTTGTGTTGCTCAAGGTAATGGTGGCCCCACCTCTATCACTCCCCTCTCCCTTGTTAAGTAAATGACAGCTGTAGTTGTCTTCTCTGATCCTCTCTCTGGAGAGGATCCATCCTGTTCTTTGGAGAGTGGCCCACTTTTTCTGTTTTGCTAATGCAACAAGTTACTCTGAAATGAACCAGCAGCTTGAGGTGGGGAGAAAAGCCCAGGAAAAAGAATGCAGGGGAAATGTGACAGAATGGCATGAAACCCAGAGCAAATGGTAAAAATGAGCAACACATGGAGAATGTGGAATGGAGAGAAAAGCATAAAAATCACAACCACATCTGACATCTCTAGAAATGGTGAGAGGCAGAGGAAATAACACATGTGGCTGTCTTCAAGTCTGCGAGATTCCTCTTCACCACTCAGTGGTCATATGAAGGGGATTCTTTTGGAATTGCTGAACCCTTTTTTTCCTTCACTTTGTTCTACCATGCTTTTATTTCTTCCACTGTGGCCAGTTAGTTCAAATATACAGAGAAATACTTGGTCTTTTTACATCTTCCCCAGGTACAAAATAATGGGTCGAGTGAATTGATGCTTTCCAAAGTGTATGTGAAAGACAGTAATTTGTGATGTGAAGAGAAAAATCCAGTATTACTTTTTATACTTATTTTTATCTTACTCTTAGATTTGGGGGAGGGGGAAGAATTTAGAAATATGTTAGTATAGTGATATATGATTGCCGTGTATGAATAAGAAAAAATGTGTCAAGAGAGTTAAATGACTTGTTGTATTTTGTTCATTTTTACTTTGGGAGTCATGTGCCGATGACCAGGGTGTTTACCCAGATTACTGGCTGGGGTTGAGGCAGAAAGAATGTTCCTAGAATTGGGAGATTGTGTCCCGAAACAGGGGTGTTCACTGGATGGGCTATTTCCTGCTAGCCTGTGGGGTAGCCAGCCAGCTAACTCATCTTATGGCCTCAGAGTTCTTCCAAATCTGTAGTCAGAACTCAGAGTAAGGGAAATTCCCTATGATGGCCACATTTATTAACCTATAATCAGATTGCAGAGCCACATCCACAGATGGTAAAATCGCAGTTAGAAGCCACCCCCAGGCACCCTCACCCTCATAGACCTTGCTCCTTCACTCTCCCTTCCCAGTGTTGTTGTATGCTGGGGTGTTGTATGCCTGGTTGTTTGTGCCACCCAGCACCATCTTCTGGGCCACAAGAGACATGCAAAAAAGTGATGCAGAGTGTGAGCCTCCCCTGCCCCTCCACGGCACCCCTCACCCCACGCACAGTTACAATCATTACACTCAAACTGTAGAGCCACAGACACTGTCCTGCCCCTGGATGCGCTTTACCTTTTTATAGTCATTCAGCCTCTCTTTTTTCTTTCTCTAGACTTAAATGCCAGCCTAGCTCAACTTCAGGAATCCCATTAATGTCAGAGAAGCAGGCAGCATTAAGGTGCCCTTCACTTCTCTTGTCAACCAGGTCTCCAAGGCTTCACCACACCACCCCCAGGCAATCTTCTCTGTTGACATTGTTCTCATTCCATCCTCATCTGCAAGAATCTGGCCATTAGTCAAGCTATTCCTAAATGATGCATTTCTTCTAGAGATATATTCTGATAAGAAACGGAAGAGCATTGCTGCTTTCCTCACCTCATTATACAGACAGCTGTGTGACAGGACCTGACAAACAGCTCTCTGAGATCTCTAGCTACAGATACTTCTCCTCAGTGTGCTTGTGGAGTGCCCTGGGCTTCTCTTTTCCTTTCCAGGCATGCTTTATCACACAGCTCCATGGTGATCTTTCTAGATGTTGGCTGCAGATAGCAACTCTTGTGTAAGAACATACCTTCAACAGCAAATGGAAGAAGTTATACCTTTAAGGTTATCGGTATCCCTTTCTTGTCATATTGAAATTGGAAAAGGATTATATCTGTTTGAAATTGAATGAAGGAATAGTTGGTGAGTAGACTCCTAAAGGAAATGAGACATGATGGAATCAAGAATCACCTTCTATTGAAAGACTTTTGCCCACAGCTTCCATAGGTAACTATGGAATGCAGAATCTTAAGAATATTTTTTGCCCCCTACGGAAAAGTAGTGACAGAAGTTGTTCTCATTGGCAGGTCAGTATTCCCTAAAAAGCTTGGTTCATGGGAGACCCTGACTCAGAGTTGTATGTTAGGAACACTTGTCACCACTCATACCAACTGTGTAACTTCTTAGCCATTATAAGTTTGGGGAGTTTACCATTCAGACAAAGAACTGATGGCAAATACCCTGGGTATGGAGTGTCCTTGCTCAGAAGTAGATATGTTTTGTGAGTGAAGGATTCGGGAAATGGCCAAAGAAGATGTGATCTTTCCTCAGGGTATTCTCTACTGTACTCTCCATCACATGCCAGTGAGGGAGTTGTTGGCATCTAGGGTGAGACCCTATACGTCCCCACACATCACAAACTAGTAGCAAAGTTGCTTTGCCGACTAAGTACCAGTAACCCTCACTATCACCTTCAAACCTGAAACATGTCCCCACACATTTTTCCAGGGCTCCCTGAGAAAAGAATAAAAAAGAACCCAGGATAGAAGTGCCTATGAGTGCTCTATAGATAGAGTGTATATATCCAGTTATTTCACTCAAATGCACGACTTAAGTGTTCAACACACTTGGAGAGAGCTGGACCAAGCACATGAGGTCCCAAAGATGGTGCCTGATGGTGGCCCAGCACCGTGCCACATGTTAGCCCAACTATGCTGGCACTTACTAGATCTTTTTGTGTCACCAAATACTGACATTGTATATAGAGATAAATTCCAGTTCTAGAATTAGATTTACAAAGTCAATAAACTGTAATGTGTGTCTGTGTGTTTGCAATGATCCATATATGGGAACCAGACAGTTTGAAAATTAGCCCAAATACACAGGAAATTTGTGCATACCAATGAAAAACTACTTTTTTAAAAACACATTTCCCCTTATTTTTTTTTGTGTGTGTGTTTTATACCAGCCATCTCCCCTTTGCTAAATAATTGAGATTGCTTTTTAGTTCAGCTAGCTGGTAAAGAATTTATAATGAAAACAAAACCTATTCTAAATTTTTAAATCTGAGATTTTCATTAATTCGATAATAAGTCTTGAATTTTAAGTTCCGTTCTAAAAATCTCTATGCTTTTCTCTGTATTTAGACATTTCTCATCTGCCACTTTGCAGGTTGCTGCACATGAGTTGAGCACATAGATTTGTTATAAATTAAATATTAAAGCTTTATAGACTATTTTTATTTCCTTCAGCTTGCATACCCTCTTGCAGCTCTAATAGCCACATGCCCAAGTCTTGAAAGGAAGTCAAGTTTAGAGAAGTTTAATGAAGAGAGTTTACTGAATGGAATAAGCACTGTAATAGAATGGTACTGACCCCCCCCCCCCACACACACACACACACCCATATGCCACACTATCGGAGGCCTCTGTTGAAGCTATTCTGGAAAATGTCTATTCTCGCCAGAAACTGCCCTGCATTGTCAGTGAGAAAGCATTAGGTGCAGGTGTCAAACATGACTAATGAGGCATGAGGAGTCGACAGCAAAATAACAGAGATTATAGGTACAGAGGACTTGTGACTGAAGTGTGAATAGCAGTGTAGATGTGTGACTGACACAGAAAGAGGGAGACAGGCACTAAGGAGCACTAGCTATCATGCTTGTGGGAAGGATGGACAGTTTCAGTTATTTGAATGATACCTTCTCATATGATATAGAAGGTTAGGAAAAAAAACTAAGTTGTTTCGCTCTTTAAATTGTGAGGTTCCTGCTAGTGTTCAAGGCTTGACTTCAACATTTCCAAAATCTTCTGAGTCGAGCCAAAGTCATCTTTTTCTGTTGTTACATTTACGCAACTCATTTTATTTTGAAACTGTCAGAAAGGGTAAAGCATGGTTTGCTCTTTAACTTTTATGTCATTAGAACATCACAGTAGTCGTGCAGTGCTCATAGGTATATACTTCCCTTCAAAGCCATCAATTGGTATTATTAATTAGGTACAGCTTTACACATGAAAGAAAACTGATGCTGTGTTCTGCTATTCTGGGACTCTCTGCTATTCAGGAACTCAGATTAGCACAGCCTGCCTTCAGGAAGCCTGTACTCTAAATGCACGAGACCAAAAGAACAAGAAAAAACTATCAGTTTAGCTGTGACAAAGGCCACACAGACTGGACCAAGGCTCTACAGCAGTCAAGGATTTGTAGAGTTAGCAGGGCTAAGGCTGACTCTGGTGAACCCTGCATCACCAGTCAGGGCATCTTTCTATACTGGCTATACAGTGCCCTACTCAGGACCGTCGCCCTACCGGTCTCTATTCCCTATGTGACAATCAGTATCTGCATTTGCTCTCTCACCTCAGGGGAGACCACCAGAGAGATTAATTTTAAAGACAACTTTTTGGATGAGAAGCAGAAATTTAGGTGAGAAGGAAGAAACAGAAGCAAGATGAAACCAGGCAGGGGATGGTTTCCTCTCATGGTCTTTTTTACCACATTTCTCAGAGCAGAGATGAAGATGAAGTTAACGTGAGGAATGTTGAGCTTCCTAAAAGCAGCTCCAAAGGACAGACCCAGGACAGGTTTCTAAACAGCTGTTATTCAGATTAGAGGCGAGGACTTGATGTATTGCTCCCATTAGAACATGTCCTAATGGAAAGGGCCTGCACTTCCTCTGGGTCCCAGCTGAATTAAACAATTGGAGTATTTTAAATCGAGGGTCATAAGTGTCAACAAGATGGAGAGCTTTGCCTCTTGATTAAAAGAGCCCTATAAGTTACTTAGGAAGTTCTCACTTGCACAGATTGCATATGACTCTTCTGAACCATGGCTATACCTGGGTAAATCTAGTTATCCTGCAGAGAGAAGCAGCAAGGAACAAGACTACAAATACAGGTGGTGACTTGAAGTCATGCACTCCAAGATCCTGCTAACCTTAGTGTAATGGAGACGGTGCCTCTCAGATTTCTCTGTCAGATTGTTCCCATGAGCATATAATCCTGGCAGACTGGGACTGGGACCCACATGGCACACTTCCATTTCATAACATTTGTGTATGTTTCTGTATCAGTAATGTCTTAGTGACTCATCAGGTTAATTCTTTCTAGGCTCAGAGTAAAAGTAATGCTCCTGGACCAGGTGCTGTCCTTGCAATTGGCGTCCATCCTGGCACACTGCTTTGCACCCAGTTGAGTATATCTGGGCCCCAGTATATCTGGAATCTGGTACAGGGAGGCCCCCAGAGCCGCAGATACAGTCTGAGTCCAACACAGTCCCTTGGATTTTACCCCTTGGACTGAAGAAAATAATGCAGGAGCCAGCTGTGGTCAGAGGCTGCAGATTCTCCCAGAATGGAGGAAGAACAGAAGAAAAGCTGGGGGAGGGGAGGGCTTGTTGGGAAGGGAGAGCGAACAGAGCCTGAACAGCAGCAGTAGTGAGGGCAGCAGCGTCTGGCGCAAGAGGCGACAGATGTCTCTAGGTAGATGCCCTTATGGCAACTCTTCTGGAAAGAGTAGAAAATCCCAGTAATATTAACAGGGCTACAACAAATGAAAATTGGAAAATAAACAGATGGAACATGGCTCATAGTTTAGCGTTTATCATCAATAATTCTGAATCTGCATGTGAATATGGCTAACTGTAGTCAAACCATCTGCCTTTCACTTTAAGATACTGTGTGGAATCCTACTCTCCACCAAGGGGGAGAAGATGGGGGAGATGTAGAAGGCGAGAAAGGGAAGGAGGGAGGAAGAGGGAGAATCATTATTCTCAGCTGTTCTGTCAAAACAAACGTGATTGCGCCTTCTGGAAAGGTCAAGTGCAGATGGACACCATCCATCTCTAGAGACCAAAGCCAGCAATCCCACTGCTCTTTCCAGGCTTAGGAGGACCCCTCCTGGCTGCCCTTCTGATTTCAAGTGTAAGCACCTTAAAGGCAGGCTGGTGTTTCCTTCTCATAGGCTGCGATTCATCATCCAGTTCTGATCCCTGTAAGGAAAATTAACTAAATGCATTGTGCATCCCTGGCCATGGTGTGTTCTCCCCTGCGTCTTTCAAGTATAGTGGACACACAACCAGAGCCCAACTTGTGCTTTGAACATGAAAGGTCATAAGAGAATTTGAAAGAGTTTTGTCCTGTCCCAGGGAATCGGAATCTGTTGAAACTGGAATCTTCAAGATAGGGGATTGCTGATGCTGAATGATCACCAACACCCCAAAAAAAACTCATCTTAATCAATCACTTATTTAAAAATTAACTTTTTATTTAGAAGGCAACATCATAACAACCTGAAGGAAATAATTAAATGGGAAATCATCCATAAACTCAGTTGTAACCTGCTCTACCTCACATGTTCCCTTTTTCTAGACCATCCTGGGAAACATGAATAAAGCTTTTATCACTTTGTGAACTCTTCATAAAGGATACCATATCTCAGGTGCAGATGAGTGTGTAATTCTTTTTTGTTGTTCTTTTTAAACATGACAGCAACTGGCTTTTTTTTTTATTGAGTTTTCCTGAACATTAAAAAAAAAAAAAAGTAAAACATAAAAAACACCCAAAAATACCTCAGGTGGGGTTCTGGAAAGTGTGTACTCGTACGTGTACACCTATAGCTGTGATGAGCGTGCATGTGTGTACACAAATACCAAAGGTATTCCAGAGGCTTAATTTCTTAAGTGTTGACTACTGTTTGTTCATACCCCAGTAGTGTTAACAAGCAGTAGATTGTTAGTGACAATCACACTCTCTCTAGCACTTACAGCAGAAGGCTTGATTTAATCGAAGAACTGTCATTTATTATTCTGTTGTGCAATTCCAGGGGGGTAGCTAACTGATCAAGCTCTGCCTCCCAGGAGCAGAGGGCTTTTTTTTTTTTCTTTTTTGTTATGTCTAAATCCTCAATACAAATTGCAGTATTTCTGGACTCCCAGCGGGACCCATTAGAGCCTGTGGGGCATTA